CACAACCAAGGGCATGACAACCACTAATAATTCCGCGAGAACAACAACAAAATAAAAGGCCGCAAAGAAAGTTTGACCCTCTCCCCAGGCCTCACAGTCAATTACTGTAGCATATACTTAAAGCATCTCTGGTAGAGCAAAAGCCTATAGCTCCTCCGATTGGGGAACCTCCACCAATGTACGATCCAAATGTCAGGTGTGAGTATCATGCTAATTGTCTGGGGAATACTATAGAAAAATGTTGGGCTTTCAGACACAAGGTTCAGGATTTGTTGGATTCTCAGGATATCATTTTTGACAAACCGAACACCAAGACGAACCCCATACCTCCACATAGTGGTCCGATTGTGAATGTAATTAAGGTAGTCACTGACCATGAAGGGATCAAAGAACAGTTTCCTCCTATTCAGAAAGTCTTTATCAACAAAAGAGTAGAGCATGACAGACAGGTGGAAATGATATCTAACAAAGACAACATCAAAAGGGCATTTGATTTCATCCATGAATGTGCCCCAGGCGAAGAACTCAAGAACTGAACAACTGCGGAGATTCCCGAGATCTTTTTCTTTCCAAAGTAATTTTTTGTTTTTGAAAGAACCTATGTCAAGCCTGAGGCATGGGGGTTGTTTATAAGGGTCCCCCATTTGTTTCAGACAGTATTCACGATTAATAAAAGTTATATTTCACATTCAATTAGGATTCATGTCTTTATCTTGCATTTATCTCTTACATTTAAAAACAACAATACTTTTCTTCATATGCATTTTCAAAATTCACATACTAAAAACTGCAACAAAACACGATAAATGTGAAGATCCATGCCAAAATCATCGATAATGTTACTGCTGCTATCATATATAATTTTAATGCACCCATCAACCAAGTTGAAGAGGAAGATGATGGAGATCTTGAACTTTCTAAAGAATTGGTGAGAAAGATAAAGCAAAAAGCTGACAGTATATAACCATACCAGGAAACTATTTAGACCATTAACCTTGGCACAAAGGAATATCCAAAAGAGATCAAGCTATGGGCAACATTGGAGAAAAACGTCAAAGAAAGGCTGATCAAGTTGTTACATGAATATGTGGATATATTTTCCTGGTCTTATAGAGATATGCCAGGATTAGTTACATTCATAGCAGATGATGTCTTTGTTGTTTGGCTTTCTGTATCCTGAAGAACCTTCAGATCTTCTGTGTCTAGAGGAGGATTATGACCTTCTGTATCTGGATGAAGATTCATTCTGATTTTCTGATCTTCTGGGATTTTTGAACTTCCTTTGTCTCTGCTTCCACAGTTGGTTCACCCTTCTGGAGAGGAGAGACATTTCATCTTCTTCTGATGAGGATCCATCAGAGGTTTCTTCCACAGCCTGCAAAACTTTGGAGTCAGATTTTCTGTTAGATTTTAAAGCTAATGGCTTACCTTGCTTTTGAGGTTCATCTTCTTCTAGCTCTATCTCGTGACTTCTGAGGGAGCTAACAAGTTCCTCTAGAGAGATTTTGTTGAGATCTTTGGCTAGCTTAAGTGTTGTAACCATTGGCCTCCATTGTTTTGGCAAGCTTCTGATGATCTTCTTAACGTGATCAGCAATAGAATACCCTTTGTCAAGAACTTTTAGTCCAGCAAGAAGAATTTGAAATCTTGAAAACATAGTTTCTATAGATTCACTATCTTCCATCTTGAATGCCTCATACTTCTAAATAAGCGCAAGGGCCTTGGTTTCTTTGACTTGAATGTTGCCTTCATGCGTCATTCTCAGAGATTCAAACATATTCTTGGCAGTTTCTCTGTTTGATATTTTCTCATACTCTGAATATGAGATGGTGCTGAGGAGAATTGTTCTGGCCTTGTGGTGGTTTCTGAATTCACGCTTTTGCTGATCAGACATCATTTTCTTGTCTATCTTCTGACCACGTCCATCCACAAGATGTGTGTATCCATCAGTCACCATGTCCCACAGATCAGCATCATGGTCCAGAAAGAAACTCTCAATTATGTCTTTCCAGTAGTCAAAGTTTTCTCCATCAAAGACTGGAGGTTTACCACTGAATCTGTCCATGTCTTCATTGTTGTCATTGCTGATGTTTTGGCTTGGTCTCACCATAGTGTTTTTCTGAAGCTTGGATCTTGTACTCACACGGTTAAGTGTTTAAGCTCAGAACCAGGCGCTCTGATGCCAATTGAAGATGTGAAAAACACAAGAAGGGGGGGTTGAATTGAAAACTTGGATCTTAAAACAGCTTAATGACACAATATTTTTATCCTGGTTCGTTTGATCTCAAACTACTCCAGTCCACCCGTCAAGGTGATTTCGCCTCTCTCCAACGAGGTCTTAATCCACTAATCTCAAAAGATTACAACAACTACTTTAACAACTGTTAAAGTCTTCTTGAGTACAACCACAATCCGGTTAATCTCAAGGAACTCTTTTACAATATGATTTAGACAAAATGTGTTGTTGTTTTTCTAACAAAAACAGTTTATCACAACTGTGATAATTTACACAAGTTTGTAGCTTAGAATAAAGATTGAATTTGCTTAAGCTTGAATATGTGTGGTTGGTGATCTTAGCAAATTGTTGTGTGTACGTACATGCTTCATTCTGCAAGCTGACTTGTTTATATAGGCAATGTAATGACGTTGTCCATAAAGCAAGTTTAATATTGTTAACACACTTTCCTTTTGGAGAAGATTTTGTCTGAAGAAAGCCGTTGGTATTAATTCTGTCTTGAATGTTCAGTAACGCTTCAGAGTCTTTTCTCCTTACTGCTGATGACGCTTCAGAATATTGATGACTTGGTTTGATGTGTCTTTGTTCAGAATCAGAGTTTATTATAATTGAGCGCAGGTTTTGATCACCAATCTTCAGCGTATAATCTGATTGCTTCAGCTTGTAATACTTTATGACTTATCTTCTGATGCTGATCAGATCAGAACTTCTGCATACATAAAACATATTTATAAGGTGCATATGTGTTCTTTGTATTTAATTCTTCTTTATATTTATTTATTCTTTGTATTTGTTATCATCAAAACTCTAATCAAGGGTTGTAGAATCAAACTATGTTCTAACACCAATGAATGTCTGAATGTTTGAGTGTCATCAACCTATGTGACTACCTTAAACCTTGCTCGTTCTTCAATACAGATTGGGGAAGATACGAAATAAACCATCTTGCCAAAAGAGGAGTATAACACATAAGGATACTTGTTTTCCTCATAGTGCGAGTGTGAAAAGAATATAGGATGTCTCCTAGCAAAATATACACCGGGTTACGAGACATGAAGATTTTGACGGCGTTCACATCTATGAGTTGGTCAGGATTTGGAAACAAAACCATCTCATATCGGAGTTCAAGAAAGAAACCAGTAGTAGCATTATCATCATGCGAATCAGAATACATAGTTGCTTCTCTTTGTGCATGTCAAGCAACTTGGATGGTGAACTTGGCCGAAGTATTCAGAAGACTAAGAAGCATGATAAATATAGATAGTTTAGACACAGTGAATTAGGTGGTGTGTTAAATTATAATTTGATTGTAGTGTGTGTGTCGAAGGGAGATTGTTTAGTCGAAGAGCTTATGGATCGAAGCAAACTACACACATATTTGATTAGTTTTAGATTTAGATAAACTTGATTTAGATCTAAAATAGATAGATTTGATTTAGTATCAAAATAGGTATTTTTGGCTTTTATAGTTTTGGTCTTTGACTTAGGGAGCAAGTTAACCTAAATCTATAAATAGATGGAGTAATCCCTAATTTTGTAATTAAGTTAATTCATTGTAATCACAGAATTTGCAGTTGCAAGTGATTAATAAAGTTTTCGACAGTTTGTGAGTAAAGAGAAACTCCGCAGAAAATAATTGTATTCTTTCTTTTCTTTTCTCATAATCCATTATCATTGTGTGATTATATCAATCTTATTCTTCAAGATTGATAAAAATTCATCTTGATATTTGATAGATTTCCAACCCTTTCTCCATACATTTAATCCATATTTTGTTTTTAAGTTTTTTTTTTCTTTCTTCATGAGCGTGTTTAATGTTTAGTACCATGCCATATTTTGTTTTTAAGTGTTTTTTCTTTCTTTCTTCATGAGCGTGTTTAATGTTTAGTACCATGCTCTAGTCTTATTTTGTCGTATCATTGGGTTAATTCATGAACTAGTTTAAATTTTAAATATTTATAAAAATATATCCATGTGTGTGATTTTGTAAATTGAAAATAGAATATGGGTGATTATGAATAAAACTATACTAAAATAGGCGTTTGACAATCATATAAACAGGCGTCGGTGATCATATAAATACGTAAAAGGCATCACATCTCATTTTCTAAAATACACATAAAATGTACATTTTAAGTGTAGGAGTTGGAATTTACACTACTTCATTTCGGTGGCTTCTAGGGTGAAGGTTCACTTAAATCCCTCATTAGTGTACCACTAATTTTGACCATTGGATTAAATAAACCTATGTGATTCTATTTTAATCCGTTGCATCCACGTTCTTTCTCTGTTCCCACTAAATCTCAGACTCTTATTTTTTACAGAATTGAATCGAGCCCATTATTTGAGTAAGAAAGACAGCTGAAATTATTTAAAGAGGGGAGGGGATAAAAACATCTTTAAGCATGCCTTTTATATCAGATTGGCTTCAAATTGTGTTTATGAATTTTAATAGTTTGTAAAAAAATCAAGGACAGAATTGTACAAAATTTTAGTGATTTTGCGAAATTCACGTGAATACCAAACAAACTTTGTTATTTTTACAATAGCTAAAGAGACAAACACCAAATTACCTAATCAATTGTCCAACATATGAAGTGAACAACCTGATATTCAATCCTAATCCTAAAATTACAGTACTTCACAAATCAGAACAGAAAACATAACAAAGAACACAGGTAATGTTATTTCACTTGACAATTTAACGAAATACAGAATGTAAGAAAGGAATAATAACAACCGTGACATGGCTGCGTTCAAGTTATCAGTCGTCTTTGTCGGCATCTTCGGCGTCAGTTTCAGAAGGAGGAGGAGCGGCGGCAGCGTCAGGAACATCATCAGGGTCCAGGGTCGGATCGGATTTGTCGATGGAGCCGCGGGTCTGAGAAAGGAAGGGCTTGAAAGCGAGTTCAATAGTGAGCCAAACAAATGCTAGGGCACCCGCCACCACAACCACTTCTTTTGCCTTTCCCATTTTTTTTCTATCGCTCATCTGTTATGTTCTATCTTACTTACTACGCTCTTAAATTACTAATTATTATATATACAGACAAATACAATAATCCATTACGTGTTACTCACCACCACAAAAAACCTTCGTAATCCAAATTCCTAGTACTACCACTCATATACGTAACCTTTTTGAAGTTGACAGCTTCATCAATAACCATTGCATAAAATGAGTTTTTCCCACATAACAAAAATTGACTAATTACTTAGTACTGTTTTACTGAATCTGTCAACATTAACATTCTGTCAAAATGCCACAAATTTTGTTAATATGTCCCATTGGTTAATTTCAATTTCAAAATCTTCAATAAATTATTGACTTTTACTTGTGACCAACTAATCCAAATGGACCATATGCCACTAATCCAAATGGACCATATGCCACCGTCCACTTGCGGAGACCCGTTTAAACATGGCTCAACATAAAAATTGTTTGCATCTAACATAATTCAAATATGAGACCTGAGCACAAAGCCCCCACCACTGTATATTGGCTTAGTCCCAAATGTGTATAGCTTGAGAAGTTTTAAAATTACACAACAAACGTCATCCAAATTAAAAATTACTAATATAAAAGAATATTATTTGTAATTTAAGTTGTTTTGCAATATAAAAATTACATCTATTGAGTAAATTCATAAATTAATTTCCACCTTATAAAAATATGGCTTACTTTAACAACGAAGATATATGTTTCAAAGCTAACTTTCCAACGAAAATAAAAAATTATAGGTCAATATACTTTTTATCTGCAAAACAAAAATAAAACAAACAAATATCATATAAACATCTGCCATTAATCATTCTATATTTATCACGTGATTTTTCAATTCATTCCTAATTCAATGCTAACTTACACTTCTCAATTTTTAGCTAATTTATCGTGTTTTTTTTAAACACCCTATTTGTAACAAGGCCAATGATCAGCAATTTCAATAAACTTCTTTACCTTCTCAGTTGATTAGTACTTAGCATTATCAAGTAGGGCAAAAGTAAGAAAATAACAACATTAACACTCCACACAACTAATTAACAATCCATTAATGTCTCAAACCGCGCAGAAAATTTTCCTACAATACAGATACAATGAAATCCAAAAATTTGGGATACACAATTTAACGGCCACGGCCACGACCGCGTCCACGTCCTCTCCCCCGTCCTCGCCCCAACGGCTTTCCCCCTGCAATTAAAATCAAAACATTAAAAACTACAAATCCGTAGATGCATCTAGACATGATGGCTCAGATTGAAAAAACAATGCAGTTATATTCAAATAATATGCAGTACCAGCAGTTGGCTTCTTAGGTTTGACCCTAGGAGCCTCTTCAACCAGTAAAGTTTCCAGATTCAAGCTGTCAGGAAGGATATAGTAACGAATGTTGTTGCCTCTCACACTGAGATGATCCAGAGTAACAGGATTTTTCCCCTTTAGGGTTAGTTTAACGGCTTTCAAATGTGTATTCATACTAATATCAACACCTGTAGCATAGCAACATGTTCACTGATCAGTACAACTAATGCTTCAAAATACTTCTAAGCTCATCAGAGAATAAAGGCACTGAAATTCACTAGTTAGACACGAGCTTATAGTTATATATGTATTCACTAATTAAAGACAAAGAAATTCCTTGGTGCTGAATTAGATTGTAGTAACAAATTGCCCGAAAGGGAATACAAGGATTCACCATACTCATAAACAATGTCCACTTCCAAGTTTAAACTAATAATAAACATTGCACAAAAGGAAATGATTGTATTTGATATTTATTCATAAAGCTAGGAGACACATCTGCACCAAGACATTCTAAAACTATAATCAAAGACAACAGACTTTAGGGGATTCAATTGGAAGTGATGGAGGAGAATGGTATAATTCCAACAAATTTGGACTAGCGACCTGTAATTTGTAGGGCTAAACTAGTGGAACGGGCATGAAACATAAGGCTTAATAATGGAGATTATGGAGTATGAGAACTCTAAATTTCATAACATCAAAAACACTTGCAGCATAATACAAGGATATGGCAGAGGGTATTGCAGAATACAGCTATAAGAAAATTTTAAAATGCATACAAAAAATACCAAAAGAAATACTACAGAATATAATTAAAGAAACAATAAGCAGACAACAATTGAAGATAATTAGAGAATTGAAATCAAACATCTTCCTAAAGCCCAATTGTACAGATAAGAGGAGCACAAGACATTGTTCAAATTTCAATTCAAGAAATCACAAAAAAAACACATTTTCAATCTCTCTATCAAGTCAGAAATGAAAAATTGACAACTCTCTTCGAAAAAGCCAGGACAAGCACGGACCAGAATACCAAAGAGAAGCCAGGAAAACAATCATACCCTAGGCTATAGGAACGTTGAATAAAGAGATATTTCAGGATTCAAAACCATTATTCTAACCAATATAGTAAAAAACGAGATCTTAAGTAGGATCGGTCGGCTTGTGAAAGATCGTAAAAACACCGGTGACGAAAACGACCTTTCTCTAATCGTAGCACTCTCAGGCATCCTTAGCACAAAGATCTTACAATCTTACAATCTAGCACTTGATCTTAACTACACTGATTCTAAGAAGAAGCCACCTAGGGGCAACTAGCAAATTTTATGTCTTCAAAAATGTCAATACAAAAAAGAAGCTGAAAACTACAACTAACTCCATACAGAACATCAACATCTGGCCCACAACATTAAGATTAAAAGGACTCCATATCATATTAGATGTGTTTTAAAGTAACCTATTGCACTGTCATTTAGAAAATGGCAAGGTAATTACTAATTAGTCATTCACATTGAAATGACATGATGATGTTAATATACGCTTTAACCACCAATTCCGAACTCACATCAAATGTTAAAATCTTATAGAAGCTCCGAATAAGTTGATAGGAGAAATACCACTTTAAAACAAATCTTTTTAACCCCAAAACAATGTTTCATGGGTACTACTAATACATGATTATGACTTTTTTCCTGGGAAATTTTTTGGATAATTGCTGATTATGGTAAACCTACCTCAACTAGCAACAGACACTTGACATCATGCTTATATACATGAAATATGAAATTATAATAATCTAAAAGAATTAAAAAGAATTCAATTCATCTAACACTAAATTAGGGTTTAACAAAACCCTCATCGGAGTTAATTATGAGGTGAAACGGAAGAGTGAAGAGTTACCTGTAATGGTGCCGTGAACGATAGTGCCATTCTTTAACTCGATTGAGACAGTTTCGTTGTTCAACTTCATGAGAAACCTGTTCGAGATTTCGTACTAACATTTTAGGTTCAGATTGAAAAAGAAAAAGAAAAAAAAAAGAGAGAGAAAGAGTGAAAATGGAGAGAAACCATAAAAGAACGGAGATGATAGATACCTAACGAGCTTCATGGTGGCGGAGAAGAGAGGAGTGACGGTGGAAAATCGCAAATCGCGGCACGGGCACAACAATCGGTGTTTTTCGGCCTCCAAAAGACACTTGCGAATAGAGTGTTATACCCGGTGCAAGAAACCCATCACTAAAATACAGAAAAATAAGTAGAGATTTTTTTTTTCCAAATAATTACATTTACAAAAAATTTATTAAAATAACTATTTTTCAAATTAAAAAAAAAAATTATCACATAGAGGAGTAGCCATTATGTGTGGCGCATGCATATAATTTAAAGAGGAGGCGTCACACTGTATAGTTTCTCTTTCTCTGTAAAACTATGCAGTGTGGCGCATGCATGCAATAATAGAGAAGAGGCGCCACTTAGTATGGTTTGACAGTGTTATATGGTTTTCTATAAATGCAAGCATCCATCATCTTCATTTTTTCACATCATTTCTTATATAACTCTTGTAAAATGTCTTTCACTCTCTTCTCAAGGTTTTCACTGATCAAAAGAGATACGCATGTTATTTTTTCGGCGACAAAGCCTCTGATGAAGATCAAACTCTGAAACACGCAGACGCTCGAGCATTTTCAGAGGCACTTGATTCGCTAGTTGGAAGGAGGCATTCCTAAAGGTGAACAGATCAGAAAAATAAAAAGGCAATTTACAGTGAGGAACGAAAATGGAGTAAGTCGATCATGGAAAAAGGTGAGATGTGACGTTGATGCCATGATGATGATGCTTGGACCAGACGATATTGTGTTAATGATTTTTATCTCTTAGATATTATGATTTGTTTAGTTGTTTTGTCTTCTTATCATGTTGTCGTGTTATTGTCCTGAGTTTGTGGTGTTGTAATTTTTTGGATCATTATGTGAAGATTGTTGTAATCGAGTGATAAATTGAACACAAAATGATAATCTGAATTTAAATTGAAATTTCTTGCGTACAACAAATTAATTACTCTGGAAAGTTTGTTATAAAAAATTAGGTTGCAGAGCTAGACCCAATATTCGGATAATTTTTTCGATTGTGTCCGGGAAGACGACATGTACTGCGTAATCTTATCATTTTGTTGGCCATATCCATTTCAGTTCTAATACGAGTGCTATTGGGGCGCCCTTTTATCTTCCGTCGCATTTGTTCATTGTGTCAAACAATGTCCCCTTGATAAGCAGGTCAGTAATCCCCTTTTGCCAACACGGAGAAGGTATTGATGTTCACACTTAAAATGCTCTTTACTGTGTAAATGAGGGATATATGTTGTAATGGATCCAAGCGAACATGCGAGCATGCCACTATGATATGTGAGCAAGGCATGCAAAATGCTTGAAACTTTCTGCAATCACACCTACCTCTATCTAGTTTGACCCGACAATATCCCATTGGCCTCCCCTCATTATGATCCATTGTCTCTTGTACACTGAACCAACCTTTAATACGGTCAAACACGGTGACACTATGTGCGTTTGCTTTGGCAGCCTCCTCGTTAAATGTTTTCATTGTGCATTCACTGAACAACTGCTCTGATTGTAACATTGCCCTCCATTTTGAACTTCTTGTGTCAAACAATGACCACATCCTAAAATATATTGCTCTAACCAAAGCTGTAATTTGTAGGTTTCGGATGCCTTTGAAGACAGAGTTCAATGATTCCACCAAATTTGTTGTCATGTGGCCCCATCGTTGACCATTGTCAAATGCCCGAGTCCATTTTTCCATTGGAATGTTATCGATCCACCCTAATGCTTCTGAGTTTGTCAACCAGATTTCTTCGTTATAGTGTCGGAATGATGGTTATGTTAAGGCATACCCTGCATTAAGAACTTTCTTTCGAAGTGTCTTGTCTTTGATATGGAGCATGAAGTTTTGTGTGATATGTCTAATGCAATAGACATGTGTTGAAGGGGGATCCTGCCAACCATTATCAGGGTTATTGTATGCATTCATAATTGATGGATGTCTGTCTGAAATCAAACAAAGGTTGGTTTGAGGAGCAACGTGTAATCCGAGATTCTTCAGAAAGAAATTTCATGCACCACCTGTCTCACCTTCAACTAGAGCGAAGGCAATCCGAAAAATATTATTGTTGCCATCTTGTGTCATTGCCATGAGTAATTTTCCTTTATAATTTCTGTATAATCAAGTACAATCAATATGTATAATAAGTTTGCAAAATGCAAAACCATTGATGCATGGTTCATACGCCCAGAACAATCAATGAAATATTCCATTTTCACTTGCACAAGTTCTGTCTGAGGTAAATGTCGGGAGTGACTCCAAAATTATAACATTTCTAGGAGCATAATATTTGAGTGCCACCAAAAGTCTTGGAATTTCTTTGTACGATTCCTCCCAATTACCGTACACAAGTTCAACTGTCTTAGTCCTCCCGATCCATGCATTCCTGTAAGAGGGAGTATAATTGAATCTTGTAGCGATATGAGAAATAATTATGCCCACCTTTAATGATGGATCCTTGCTAATAAGAGGAAAGATTTCTTGATATGTTAGTTGAAAACTAAGTTTCTGATGATCCTGCATCGAAACTATGGTGATGCAAGTGTGGAGTGGATCAATGGTACATATTTCCCATGAATCACTTCTCTTCCTGTAAGATGCAGTTAACCGAAAAGGGAAAACTGTTTTTTGACAACATAAAATAATGTACCTCCATGAATTATTTCGATTTATACTGAAGTCAACTAAAATTTCCATGTGGTATTTTTTTATAGCTCTAAAACACTTCTTTTGTACGAAATTTATCTCCAACTTTCAAGGCCCCTTCGGTCTGCATATAAGGGTTGTGAAAGATATCTGAGGCTGATTCATGTTCCCCCAAATTCAAGTTCGTCGTGTGAAACAGAGGGTCGTACGCATGCTCGTAGGTAGAGGTTCATGCTCTTGATCTGCAACATCGTCATTAACCATAAAATCAATCATTGCCTCATCATCTTCTTCTTCTTGGTCAATGTAATACGATGGGAGAACTGAATTTTAGGTTTTGTGTTTTATCGTAAGTGTTGCGGATAGCAAGAGTCGCCACCGACTTTTCTTTTATCCAATAAAGGAAAGGGTGAAAAGAACAAGAATGACCTTTTGAGAATTTTCTGAGTAAGGCGGGTAGGTTATGAAAAAGGAAGGTGTTAGCAACATTTTCATCCATAGTCATCTACGGGCTCTTAATCGCTAGTTCACTTTTTGAAATGCTTTGTGTTTGTGTATGTTTACAAATATTTTGAAAATGCCTAAGTGCGACAATTTTGTAATGCTTCTCGTATCATTTAGAATGTATACAAAATGTTTGTTTTTAAAAATATTTATTGAAAGAAAGTGTTATTTTTGTGAAAAGTGTTTTTGAAAATGCCAATGTAAGGCAATTTGATTTATATTAAGCCTTGTATCAGTCCTCAAGAGTGTTTATAAAGCATTTTTGAAGGTGGTTATTTTTGAAAGTGTAAGGTGTAAAAATTGTTTTAGTTTGTGAGCGAGCGATTACGAGCTTCCTACCTACTCAAAAAGTCTTTGTTCTTTTCCTCCTTTAGATAGTGTTATCCTACCATTAGTTAGTAGGAAGCCCTATCATTGGATGTGAGGGACAGGCGCAGGTCATTGTACAGTCATATAAGGCAACTTGTAGGACGCTTTAGCAATTTTCGTAAGGGACTTAGATCGCTTATCAAAGGAAACATCGAAGGGTCATCGAGGGACTACGATCTTTTTTAATCGAGGGTCTTTGCTAAAGCATCTCACATTTGAGGGACATGACTGTTTCATCCGAAGGCAACAAGCGAGGTCACCCTAGAGGTGCGTGTGTGAATAATGTTTTGATTTAAGTTAATTTGTCTTGATTAGGGTTATCTAGCGCTTTGTTTTAAATCTTGACATAGACGCCTAATTACTATACAGTGATAAGTAAAAGTGGTAAAGTGAGGAAAATAAAATTCTACGCTATTAGAACACTTTGGGAATGGGGGCACACATTTATGAATGGGGATGTATCAAATTGAAAGTTCCATTAAAAGTCTAAATAAACAATCAATACAATCCAATTGAAATAATATAAATAACTAATTAAATTAAATAATTTTATTTAACTAAATTAATTAATTATATTAAATATAATTTCTCAATTTAATTAATTATCTAATCAATTGCATTTTTTGTATTTTTAACAAAGTGAAAGCAGAATAAAAAATAATGAAATAAAGAGAAACATGAAGCAATTCAATGGGCCAGTAAAAATAATAAACTAGGGGGTCTGAAAAGAAATTGGGGTGCTGGGCCAATGAGTGTTAGGCCCAGCAACAAGTTTTTTTTTTGTTTGAAGCAGAAAATAAATAAATAAAACAATGTCTTAGAATGAGCCTGAACTGAAGCAAAATCTGGGGGTGCTGAAAGAAGTCTGTTGGGCCCTGTGCATTGGCTTCAGCGAAGGTGCATCATGTGGGCTCGATTCTGAGCATCTGATCTGGATCTTAGGGTTGTGAGTGAAGGTGTATGATTGCTATGGTGGAAATGCTGCATGGAATCAAACACTTAACATAACAAATGGTGACAAATCTCACCGCCTGGGTTAAACACATAATCCACCATTAATTAAAACAAAATAATGTTTTATCAAAAATTAATCTAAACCTTACTAAACATAATATTCTCTCTCTAAAAAAAACTCTCCCGCTTCTCTCTAGATCCATTCACCCACCAACACTTAAACAAACCAGAAGTCACGAAACTATGGATCAAAAGCGGTGGTTAACATGAGTTTCGATGGTGGGGCGTAAGAACAACACGACGGATGACAGTGGTGCCCAAGAACATCACGGCGGCGCCGCCGTGCAAGGTATGAAATCAACTTTTTTTTACATTCTCGGAGTCCTCTTAACCACCCCTTTCTAAATCTCTATTTTAAATTCGCAGATTCTCAAAGAAATAAGAGAAATCAGAAAAGGAGTTTTCTGAAACCCTAAATCAAAAGTTCCCAAAAAAGACGTTTAAGGGATTTCAGTGAGA